TGTGTGTGGCCGGGGTGGGGGGGACAAATGGAGTTTGCTATGGAGAAAGGTAGCTCCAGGTGCTGTACCTGTTAGGAACATCTCTTTAAATACTGGCTGCTCTTGTCTCTCTCAGGCCCTTTCTTTCATGACATGTGGCTTGATTTACAGCTCTAATCCCCAATCTAAATTTCCTAAAGAGTACACAGAACTGCCTCCATTTACTCCACATGTCGTATGAATAACCAGACTTGGTCAGAGTGATCACATGTGTGATCTTTATATCAGCCTTTGTGGGCCTAAATGCTGTTTTTTTAACCCATAGAGTCTAGGGGAAAATGTTGACTCATTTTGATATTTGCTGCCTCAACGTCTTTGCCAGACTATCAGAAGAGCAGCTGGTGGGAAAGTAACCCAGGGAATAAATAGAGTGAAGTAAAGCATATTAAGTATTCAGGCCTGGATCTTATGTAGGACACATAAAATTTGTAAGCCCCTTTGCCATAGACTCTGAATTCAATCGAGTGCATTTGTGCATTTGGGACCTATGTGATGTGCAACCACTGCATGTAATGACTTCATTCCCTAAGCCCTCTGAGGGTCGACATTGTCAGCTCCCTTTTACAGACGGAAAGTACAGGTGTCTCTGACTTGCGAAAGCTCTCTTTCTAGTGCACTGAAAACTTTTTAAGGTTTCTTTCTGACAGAGAAGACCACTAATTTTCACTAGAAACAAATCAAAAGCAAACCTGTTTGACCCAGAAGAAGGAAGGAAACTATAGTCCTGTTCCCTCAGCCTTTTCCTTGTCTGGGCTACAGGTGTCCACTGCAATAGCTCCCAGCCACATGTAGCCACGTCCATTAACATTCAATTAAATTTTTAAAAACCTCAGCTTCCCAGCTGCATGGGCTGCATTTTACTTACCCACAGCAAGAGAGGATTGATATAGAGCGTCTTCATCAGTGAAGAAAGTTTCAGCAGACAATGGCGGGTTTGTAGTGCAGAGTTAGGGCACATCACTGAGGATTCCCAGGCTCCCTTACCCTTTCAAATCCTTGTCTGGTCAAAGAAAAAATAGGAAAGCAGCCATAATATTTATGATACCTCCTTGCTGGGCAGTTGTGAGGCCCCATGGGATGATGTTGTAAAATACTATGTAGTGTTTTATAAAGCACCTTGGAAATAATGACCATTCATATCAGAGCGGGCAGGATGACCCCAGGAAGCCTTCAAAATGTTTGTATCTATGGGCATTATGTCTGGATCCCAGCTCTTTGTGATCATGGTGGAGAGAGAAACCCAGCCCTGTAGTTTCATGTGTTAACATTACATCCATTCTCCACAGACCATGGAGAGTCAGGCCAGGAAGGGCGGGCCCACTGTGGCTCTCTGTGGCCACAGTCCTGAGCCCGGGTCCACCCCAGGTACCCATTTAGAATCAACCACGTCTGACAAAGAACCACCCTGCCTCTGAGATGACAGTATCGTATTTTTGCAAACTTTTTCTCACTTTCTCTTTCTGCTCATCTGGCTGTTTATTCCTCAGCAGATTTTTCATGAAATGTGGTACCGATTTACAGAAATCTGTGCCCGTCCCTAAAAATACCAATACAGACTGCTGTTGGACAATTCTTGTATGGTTGCCAGTTATGTGTTTCGATTTTTATCACTGCAGTACATTGGTGTAGGTTGGGTTAGCAAGATGGGAAAGGTTTCATCCTGTGAATGCCAACAGATGGCATTAACTTGTTATGGCTCCATGCAAACCTATCCCCCCTCCCGTGTGTGTGTGTTTATGCTTACTTTTTGAGGAATGAAGAGATGTTGCTGGGACTTAGAAAGTCTTATGAAACCAAGGTTCTCAGCATCTTGATGACAACTTCATTATGTGAAATATCTATGTTATAGGTACCTAAGCTCCATCAAGAAGGCAAATGCCACCTGTGACTGAAGTCCTCAGGATGCCTAAGCGATCCAGGTGTCTCGGTTTCCCTGTAGTCATAAAAACTGACTTTTGGCTTGCAGAATCAAAGCCTGCCTCAGCTGGACCATGATGAGGAGCCAACAATAGGAAATGAGGAAGCGGTTTAGCTCACACCATCATCTAAACCTAACCTGACATTCAGACCTCTTACACCTACTACTCCAGTGCTTCTCCCACTCACCCTGCTGTCTCCTGAATGAAATGCTTTCCGCCTATTCTAGTTGTCTACCCCACAGTTCCACAGCTTCTAGATATCCAGAAAAGCCATTCCCCTTTCGCTAGTCATCTCTGGGTAGCCTTCATCATCGACAGTGCCCAGCTTTCTTCTAATTCCCTTAATATGCTCTCAGAGCCTAATGTCAAATCTCTGATCCTCCAACCTTGGGATAAAAACTTGAAAGTCTTTCTATGGGAGACACAAGTCCTGTAGTTTTGTCCCACCTCTAATCATTCCAAAGACAAAAAGCAAACAAACAAACAAAAAAGAAAATGAAGAGTACAGCTATAAACCTTCCAAATTGTTTCATTTCCATAGGGAGTCCTTCAGCAGCTGTCACTAAAAGAATGCAGCACTTCACATACTCTCCCAGCCACTTTTATTTTTCTTTGCTTTGCTGTTTTATGTTTTCTTGTTAAAGAAAGGCAGTAAAGTTGAGAATATGTCAGGGAGTCAAGTAATGTCTGATTTAGTTTTCCTACCTATTTTAAGAGTTTGAGACATCCATCTCTGTATTAAAGGGTGATTATCTCGGTCTCCTTAAGTGACTTTAAAATTTAGAAGTAATATGTATGTGTAGATGAAGAATGTCCCCAAAGGCCTCATGTGCTCACAGGCAGGGCTTTTGGAAGGTGATTGAATCGTGGTGGGGGATATGGCTGATTGCGGTTAGGACATAGGGTCAGGTCAGAAGAGGCAGGTCACTGGGGGAGTCAACCTGGAAGAGTGTCTTTCCTAGTCCTCACGTCCCTCCCTGCCTCCTGGGACAGAACAGCTTTTCATTCAGTGTGCCCTCCTGCCATGTTGTTCTACATTGATGCCAACCTGCTATGGAGCAAACCACGAACCCAAATAAACGTGTGTTCCTTTAAATTGTGGATGTTGGGTATTGTGTCTTCAGGGACAAAGACAGTGACTAAGACAGTACAGTCTCACCTGTAGGATTCTGAGTAATGATTGGACATAGCCATGCCATTGTTAAGATTGCACTATACTTGTCTATTAGGAGATGCTGAGTGTTTCCTGGGGCATGAAGAATTTCTGAAAGGATGATATAGTGCTCCCAATTTTGAACTGCATGGTGATGTTGGAGTGCACAATTTTACTGAGTTCTTTTATTGCATATGGGTTATACCTCAATAAAAATAAGTTTATCAAAAAGGAAAAAAGTATTATGTTTATTGACATAGAAACACATTTACTCGGTGCAAAATGAGGACAGAAAGTAATTTGTGAAATAATTGGAATAATACAAATCTGCTTTGGGACCAATATGCTTTTGTAAATACATCATAACGAGGCAGAATGGAGCTCATTTGCTGCTGTATTATCTGTGGCTGCTTTGGTGCTGTGTATTAGTTTGCTTGTGCGGTCCCAACAAAGTAGCACAAACTGAGTGGTGTAAGCAACAGAAATTTCCTGTCTCACAGATTAGGAGGCTGGAAGTCTGAGATGGAGGTGTCCCCATGCTGTCTCTGTGGGTCATGGAAGGGTTTGCTGCAGGCCCTTCTCCTGTCCTGGCTTCTGTTGGTCCCTGGGCTGTGGCAGCATGAGGCCAGTCTTCATTGATGCTCTCACTGTGTTGTGTTCTAGTTGCCCCCTCCTTTCTTTCTTTTTGGCAATACTGAGGATTGAAAGGGTTGAACCCAAAAGCCTCTGCACTAAGCTATATCACAGCCCTTTAAATTTTTTCTTTTCATTGAGTTTATTGGTACAATCTAGGTCTACAATACAGTTACATTCATTACTGGGATCCTGTACCTTCACATGACAGGTCTTGGTTCTCATTTTTTCCCCTTGTCCCTGCCCTCCCTTCACCCCCTCCTCCCCTCCCCATTAACAAACTATTTATTTCCATTTTTTCATTTTAATGCAGGGTTTCATTAAGTCATTAAGTTGACCAGTGAGTGATTTCCTCTTTTTTCCTTGGAGAATACCAGTCATATTAAATTAGGTGCCCACCCTACTCCTATGTGATCATATCTTAACTAGTAACATCTGTAATGACTGTCTCCAAATAAGGGCACATTCTGGGTGTTAGGACTTCAACATATGATTCTTTTACCCCTTTTTCGGGAGGGAGAGACATTTCAGCCCATGGCACCCTACATTAGAAGAGTTGAGTGACTGCCACAAAGGTTGTGTGTCCAACAAAACCTAAATCTATATTTTTTACATTAAAAGTTTGCCAAAACCTTGTGTGTGTGTGTGTGTGTGTGTGTGTGTGTGTGTGTAGGCATACATATAAAAACCTTGAAAGGCTGCTCACAAATATGTTACGATATTCTCTGAGTTACAGAATTATAGAATTTTATAATTAGTTATACAATTTAAATTTTAATTATATTCTTAAAACTTCTATATTATTTGGGTCTTTAAAATTTATTATGTAATAATTTCTGTAATATAAACCAACAGTCAAGGTGTTTCTTTTGTGAGGAAAAGACACCATTACTATTTAGTTCCTATCCCCTTTCTGCACGCTGCCTCTGTAGTTTATTGGGCTCTGCTTCAGAGCTTTCTAAAGAAGTTGCTGCTCCCCACTGCTGGAAGGTGTCAAGGACAAACACTTGGCAAACCAGAAAACCTGCCTATTTACTCACTTGGGTATATGAATTCTTCATGTCTTTATTTAGCTGTCTCTTATAAGTCGGAGAGAAAAGGTTTTGGCTTTCATTTCTTCATTAAAAATAGATCCCTTTATGACGAGGATGGAGAACTCATGAATCATCATCTCCAGCGTGTGTGATGCTAGATCAGACCTCTGAAAGGGGACCTTGAGCTGCCACCCCATGACTTCCGGTTTCTTGTCGTTTCAGGAAGTTGGACGCTTTCATCTATGATGCAGCAGTCTTGAACTACAAGGCCGGGAGGGATGAAGGCTGCAAGCTGGTGACCATTGGGAGCGGGTACATCTTTGCCACCACTGGTTATGGAATCGCCCTCCAGAAGGGTTCACCTTGGAAGAGGCAGATTGACCTGGCTCTGCTGCAGTTTGTGGGTGATGGTAAGGTCTCCTCGGGACACCCCCTACTTTCGGGAGACTCGAGATCCTCACATGGTTTTCCTGTAGATCTCTGTGCCATGAGTTTGCTCACTCAGATTATCTATTAAGTGCCTATCATGTGGTGAATTCTTCTTTAGGTTGCTTAAAATGGAACCCAATTCTAGATAGGTAAATTAAAAAAAATATTTTAAAGATACAGAAGCATCTCTCTCAGTGAATTTAAGAGGGTTGAACAAACAGGTTTAGAAGAAACACCAGACTCCTGGCAGTCCTGTTACCTCAAATCTGGGAATCCAGAGGTCCTCTCTCTATACAGGTGGTCCTCAATGGAAGAGGGGAAATTTTGTCTTCCTGAGAACATTTGGCGATGTCAGGAGACATTGTCAGTGGTCACAACGAGGAAGGAGCTAGTTATGAGCATCTAGTGAACAGAGCCTTGACATAAAGGCTGTTGGAAAACATGCCCAGGCCACCCCCATACATCTCAAAACATAGAATTAAGTGACCCTAAATGTCAGTAGTATGGCATTGAGAAACTTTGCTCCGGAGTATTACATAAGTAGGCTGCCTAAATTCCCATTTCTGTTCTCTGAATTCTAAATTTCAACTTACACAGAATTCCTCATCAATTTTGGGTCAGACTCTCTTTTTCTGAACCCATCAGATCTGACTAAGGGGTGGAATCACGTTGTGTTCCCTGTTGTCATCCTGTGGAAGAACAAAGGCAGGACAATCTGTAGAAGAGGGATCGTGGGCAGAAACCCTACAGGTTTTTTGCTACGGCCCATCCGGAACACTGCTGAATATGTAAAACATACAATTCCCACCTTCACAAGGGGATTAAGGCATGCGTAGATCTGTACAGCCCAGTGGGATGACTTTGGCTCTAGAAGAATTTCCTTCTGTCCTTCTCTGCTTCATAGCTAGGGATCTCACCACAGCCCACGACATGGCTCTTAGAATCCAACCATGTGAATCGTGGTTTCTTCTTGAATTGCTGCACTGAGAGGAGAGAAGCAAAATCACCATAGAGTGCAGACTGGACCCAGAAATTTGCTCTGTGGGAGGAGGATACGCAAGCTCAAGGCAAGGGGCAGAAGCCCCTGGTGAGAGGCTGTATTCAGTGATGACTACAGCACATGCTATGCTTGTCTAGAGTTGAAAGAGAAAAATGTAACAACAGCCAGAGCTGAATAAAGTATGGGCAGAGATTACTGAATAAGGTTGGTGTGAATTTGAATGGAGTGTGGGATTTCTGACTTCATTTCCTCCTCTGACTACACCCAGAATTAAATCCTAGATTCTTACACTATCATCAAGCATTCTAAATGTGTTTTATATTTAACTCAAATGAGTATGTAATTCTCAGGATTCCCTATAGGATATCTGTGGCTTCCTTGGGTCTGTGGTCATGTTCTGTGCTGGTAATGGTGACTGGTAGCTGTGTTGATCAGCGATGGCTGTTAAATCTTAGAGGTATACTACAATAACTATTTAGTTTCCTCATGGGAGCCCTACCTAAAAGTTGCAGTGGATTTGGGAGCTCTCAGCTTGCAAGGCAATATACCAATAGTGTGACCTCTGCCCCATGCCTGTTTTTCCTGAGTGCCAGGCTGACCAGCCAGTGGTTACCTGGGGAAGCTCTTGTTTCTACTCAAAGAACAGAAAAGACATATTAATGAGCCTGTGAACACTTCAAGACTACTTCGTTATATTATATGTTTGCTAAAGCAAGTCTGATAGCTAAGCCCCAAGTCAAGAGATTGGAAATGTACTCTCTGATGGGTAGAGATGTGGAGTTTTGCAGGGGGACTGAACACTGACAATCTAAGGCCAAGTGTTCCATCTACTGCTGGGGTTGCCTGAGCACCTTTATATGCAGTGAATTATTCACTACAGAGCAGTCTGATCTCCAGCAGTAAATATCACAGAACTCTGAACATACAGGTAAATACGTGTATGGATAAATGGTTGGCATTAGGATGTATTTAATTTGGCAGGAAACTTTTAAATGTGACAGCTATCTGTCAAAAGACTGAATCCTAACTCTAGTCCTATCCATCTTTCTTGTTTCTCTTACAATATCTATCATGAAATAGCTAATATATTTAGGGAATAGGGGACATCAGTTGCCACACTTGGTGCATTACAAGTGTTCTTTAATTCAATCTTCATAACAAGCTTATGAAGTTAAACATTGGCATTCCTATTTTACAGAGGAGGGAACTAAAGCTCAGGGCTCTTGTAAATCACCTCACTGTTACACAAAAATGTCTTTATTTAATGGATCTTATTCTGGAAAGGGGTTGATTAGGCAAAACTCCTGTTTCATTTATTTTTCTAAGATATCTGCCCAAATCGACTATTTAGGTACTAGAAATTCATAAAGTCTCCAGGAAGAAGTAATTTTGTGCATCTCTGAATCAGATCTGCATTTGTCCTGTTTACAAATACTTCGGGGAAAGAGATGATCTTCCTTAGCCTCAGTGTACTCTTCTGTGAATGGGATCAGATCCATTTATCTAATAAGTTTGGTGTGAGGATGAAATGGGACAATACAGGTAAAATCTGTAGTCCAGCGCCATGCCTACAACATAGGTCAGTGAATGTCAGCAATCACCTTTAGCAGCACTATTACTATAATCATCTCCAGCAGCAGCAGCAGCAGCAGCAGCAGCAGCAGCAGCAGCGGCATTTTCACGATTCACCATTACCATCGTAATCACCAACTCTGTGACCCTGATCATTGTCACCATCGTCACTGCCGTCACCACCATCCTCCTCCTCCTCCTCCTCCTCACCATCCTGGACCACCCCCCATCAGTACCATCAATATTATGCAAAACTTTTGCATTCAACACAGCTGACTAGTGTTGTGCCAGCAATAAAATAGTCAAGCTGTATCATGGAAACAGCCTTCATGATGCCGAAAACAAAATGTCTTTGAAACATCGTTTACTGACAGAGCATCTAGGTACTTCTAGATATTTTACATCCTGGCTCACTGCTTTCCTGGTCACCCTGTCGGAGTTGGGAAATGTGTCTTTTTTCAGTTTCATCTTTAGAGGCCATCTGGAAGCAAAGATATAGGAGAGAAGATGCCGTTGCTCCAGGGGGCGTCTTAAGATAATCTTCCCGGAAAGCCATGTCCAATTCTGAATGTCTCTCTAGGAGTAAATACATGAATTAACACAGCTGCATAAATATTTCACTTATCTTATGCAGCTTCAGCAGGATTAATTATGCTCTAAAATTAGACCTGTAAAGAGCACGGTGCCAAGCAGTACCTAATTATTATTCATCCTTTAGAATGGAGTGTTTATCTCTTGCTATAGAGTAGTTTCAGTGGACGATTACGAGTCTAATGAGTGTCAAAAGTATAAAAAAAATTTTTCCTAATGAGCTGTGTAAATATAACCTTTGAGTGGAATATTTGGTTATTGGAGGAACCTCCTACGTGAAGGCTGCCAGGCCATTTCCCTAGGAAGAAGGGTTTCCGATGTGCTTTGAGGGATACACAGGATCCCAAAATGACCTGGCCTTCCTGCCCCTGTCTGACTGTGTCCTTTCTGAAATGGAGGAGCACATCATGGGCTCTTCAGTTCTCAATATTTTGGAAACAGTTCTCACAGGTTCTTTTCAGCATTGATCAGCACTAATGTCCAACACTTTTTTTTTTGAAAACAGATGCCTTTCTAGTCGCTAATGTTTCAAGAGAGGGTTGTCACCGTTTTTTTCTTCTTTCCTTCAAAGGGCTTACAGCACAGCTGGTTGACTGTGCACAAACTGAAAATATCAAGCCTTAAAATAGAAATATATTTGTATTTATTTATATGTATGAATTCGTATGTACGAATTACTCAGGTGTCTAGGGTAGTTAAGAGGGTGGTCACAGGCATACAAGATGTACAAGTTTATTTTAAAGGGAAATGAATGGGCAGCATGAGTCATAAAGAAAACATGGAGTGATATTTAAACAAAGAGCAGCATGGGCCAGCACGAATGCAAGGCCCAGTGCTTTGCTCATTCAGCAACTGGCAAATCCCTATCGGTGCCTGGTGTCTTCCTGACTCCTAAAACCCATCACGGTGAGCACACAAAGACTGTGTGAGCCTCACACATGAAGTCTTGTTTCTGGCTTCAAAGTGGTGGTAAACAAGGATTTCTTGGGTCCCTTTTATTGCAGGGATTTTGTGAATTAAACATGTTTTTAATTAAGTTTATTGGTACCATTTAGATATACATAATGAGCACATTCCTCATATGGAATTTGTACTTGTTCACGACATATCTTGATTCTTATTTTTTCTTCATCCTCCTCCCCTCCCTGCAACCCTTCTTACCTCTTTGTTTATGAAATGCTTTGTTTCCATTTTAGCTTTTTTTTCTCAATGTTTTCTTTTCCCTTTCTTCCTGCCCCTTTCCCTCTTCCCTATAACCTCTTCCCATTTGAACATTTTCTTCAAATGTTTGATATGGTTTTGCAATTTAAAGAGCTAGAAGGTAGATCATGGAAGTCAAAATCCTTCATGTGTATAGGGGCCAGCAAAAAGATGCCAAGGGAATGGGACTGTGTAGTCATGTTATTCAGAGGCAAGTGATACTGAGAAAAACTAAGAAAATTATTTTTGAGCCTCCACTCCATGATCTAGTACTATACTCTTGGCATATTCTCCATGCCAAGTCTATCAAATATGATACCCAAGTAACACTTCATGTAACATTGTGGAGTAGCCCTGATTATCTCCATTTTGCAGAGTAGGAAAATGAGGCTGAATGCAATTAGGAGAGGCACAGAAGCACGGTTCAAATAGGCCATCTGTGGGAATCTTGTTTAAAGCGAAGATCTTGTTTCAGAGAGTTTGGAGTGGTGCTCGAGGTTTTGCATTTCTGAAAAGCTCACCAGTGATGTTGCTGCACTCTGGACAACACTCTGTATATATTTTTATTGAGGTAAAAAATTGAACTGAGTTCATCTAATTATAATTCTGGTCACCTTT